CCTCAATCCTTACAGGTAAGAATACCAACGTATCATGAACGAATGATGTCTGAATAGGCGATGCAGTTGGAACAACGTGAGCAACAGTGTGTAGCTCACAGTTTATGTCTCGAGAATGCGGTTCATCTTCGTGGTCCAGTGATCTACATTGACCAGCCTATTGGCACCGGATTCTCTTATGGAACCGACACGGTCAACAGCACAGAAGCTGCCTCGCCTTATGTGTGGAAAGCATTTCAGATACTTTTTGAGAGCAAACTCTTCTCCAAGTATGCGAGTCGCGAGTACGTGCCATGAATGTCGCCTCTAAATATCATATTCAGAGCATATATCCAGGTTCATCTTTGCAACAGAGAGCTATGGTGGACACTATGGGCCTGCCTTCGTGACATACTTTGAGGAACAAAATGCATTGATCGCGAAAGGCGCCATCCAGGGCGAGCCAATTGTTGTCAGTGCGATGATGATCAACAAGTAAGCTATGCTTCAGCGATTGCAGGTGTCCAGTAGCTCAATGCCCTTTACTGCAGTGGTTGGTACGACCCTTTGATCCAGAACAGAGCCTTTTATACCTTCGCGAGCAACGCACCGGGATACGGTCAACTTCAACCCGATGACGTATTGAAGAATATTTCCGCAGCCCTCTATGGCCCCAACGGATGTGTCGCACAACAGCAAAATTGCTATGCTGCAGGAAATTCTACCGATTCTGACAAGATCTGCTCTCAGGCGGACGATTACTGCGTACGTGTGACTTTCGTGTGTTGATAGATGCATCATGTCAGCCCAACAGGGCAACAACGTCTACGTTCCTGCAGTTGGTAACCGGGATCCCTACGACCTCCGCCAGAACTCGTCGGGGTTGTTCCCCCCAGAATACTACACGACTTACTTGACCAATCCAGAGGTTATGAGCACGATCGGTGCTGAATCGGCTTATCAAGAATGTTCGTCGGATGCAAATGGACTATTTGTCAACACTGGAGATGTATGTTGTCTCAGTCTTGTTCTCGGCACCTGACAAGTGACAGCGCATCCGAATGAACATCTACTTTATAGGACGCACGAACATGGCTTCCTCAACTCTCCGAGTTGGCTAACTCTCGATTAAAGATTCTAATTTGGGTGCGCGGTCCCGATCATATTCCCCCGATCTTGCTGAAACTCCGTTCTGCACTAGGCTGGCGATGCTGATATTAAGTGAGCATACATCCACCTTTCTTGTACACCCCCCTGACGTTCGTTGATCGTTCCTTAGTTGTAATTGGATTGGTGTATGATTTTCGGATTTCGCTTTTCTACCATCCCCTGAATGCTTTGCAGGGTTACAACTCCGTGCTTGCCATGGACTGGTATGGCAACGAGACTCTTCATAACACTCCCCTCGGCAACATCACACTCAATGGTAAGCCTATCGCGGCTGTTGCAAACATAGACAACTTCACCTTTGCGTACGTTCCTTTCGTCACTCGTTAGTATGATGTATACTGATGCAAAACAGGAGGGTCTTTGAAGCTGGTCACTTTGTGGTGCGTCAAGTCTGACCTCATACTCCAAGCATAAGATTCACTGAACGATGTCCCTCTAGCCTGCGTTCCAACCTGCGGCAGCGCTGGAGATTTTCACTCAGGTCATTAACAAGGAACCTCTCCATTCAGTGTAAGGGTCGGGTTACATAGGGTCCATGGTGAATTCACCGCAAGGGAGCCGATATATTTCGTTGTCCAAACCCGCCTACTGCGTGTATACGTCACGTGGATCGACAGGTTAGTGCGGCTTGTCGCAACATTTGTGGTATAGAATTATCAGGCCAGGTTTTGGTACGCGTTTGTATCACTGTAACAGTCAACTTAGTTCGTATCTGGAACATTTCTCTCAAGTTGGTCGACGTTGTAGATATCTATGTTGTCAATCGATTTGTCGCGGTTCTGGATGTCTGCATTGTGTCGTCTCCAGTGTTTCGTGCTCATACCATAACTTGACATCACTGTCCCTTGGGGAGCCGCCAGTCCACGAGTAAATCAGGCTACTGATCTGGTACACAACAGCTTCAATGAGAAGCAAATACCTGTCATGCACTATGTAATACTTACCAGCCGAGTCCACCGGACTGGAGTCAAACCCCATAATGAGTTTGAGCGCATTTTCATCCAGGTATGTATCCGTCGTTGTCGATGATCCATTCAACTATGTTCCTGCCTTATAGTAGCGATGGCACGTGTATGCGTTCGAGCCAGTCTCGTGATCAAGGGACACAACGAGGGACGAGCTAGTATCAGCTCTCCTGGATCCCCCTCTCGGGATAAAACGTACTGCTAACGCGTACCTTTCCAAAGGTACCTGAACTTGACAAAAACTGAAACTGGACTCTTTCAGCCGCGTTGAATTGATTGTCGGCGTTCTTGACGCAAGAGGTGGCGGGGACAACTCCAGTTTCACCAAGAATGGACAAAGTACCGAGTCCCTCTCCCGTCTACATGTCGAGTCAGGTCCATGTCGAGTACATGATTAGGGTATTTCATGTTGTTGACCGTCCTATCCACACACAGTTGGTTCGTTTCCAGCGAGGTAATCGTGATGTACCGGGCACGTTGATCGTCCGAAGATGCTTCAAGCGTCTGGGCGGACTCTACTCTGTTGTGACTTGTCGCTCGAGGACCCCCGTCGTCGCCCAAGCTACCAGAGCCAACGATCCGCTTATTGTTTACCAATGCATGTTGGGTGCGTTATCCGACTCGAGTGATCGGCGCCCTCCGAACCCCTTGATCGACCGGAGTTGCTTTGAAGGAGGTCTATCTCACTCGACGTCCCGCGGGTCCATGCAAGGTAGAACGTACCAGATCCGTTTGGGAAGCAGGTGGGAACCGGAGCAGAAGCGTCTCATATTTTTGCTTTCTCTTCTTATTCTTTGTCCTATCCTGTAAGCATACGCCTCGCGATTAGACATCTGTTTTATTGTCCCCACCGTCCTTTCAAAGTATCGTGGGCGCAGAGTCCACTTCGCACGCCACTCTGTATGACCTCACCTCCTCAAAATCAAAACGTGCACCAAGATGGGCTTGACATGACTGACCAGATTCCAAGCCAATTTGTCTGTACGAAAAACACTTGCTGAGCCTCCTGAGGGATGTGGCATAGTTTGAACAAGGTACCAACGTCATACTTGTGATGATCAACGTGGGGAACATTGCGTTCTCTGTTCAAAAAGTACGTCTGCAGAGCTCGAATATACACTTTAGTACCAGACAAATGCTCCAGCCTCCTGCACGTATATTCCTCAGTGGACCAGTGGACGCCACTCCTGTCACGCCATGTGGACGCTTTGGGACTGCCTCGTGTTGTCAAAGCGCATCCACAATTGTCCACAGGTCCACAAGTCCATAACATATAAATTCGCCCCATGTTGACGACCAAAAGACCACAATTCCTCTCCCTTTTCACGTACTCCAATCCTCACCTCATTCACGATGCAGCTGCTTGCATCACATATCTATCAGCAATTCCAGAAAATCCGTCAGCAACCTGTATGCTCTGACGAGATCGTGGTCAAGATCCAACGGCTGAGGGAGTGCTTCCTAGGAAGTGCCCTGCCCTTTTCGACAGCCAAGGTGATCGTTGCGTGGAACGATTTGCCAAACGTTATGGTAGAAGACCAGCCCAAGGTGAAGACCGAACTGGGATTCCTCCGAGCTCCTCCACCAACGCCAACGGGACCTGCATTGGACAAGGATGGACCAACACCGAGCGACCCATCGTCCAACGGTAGCTGTGATGTTGACGGCTGGCTGCTCGTCGAGGACACCACCTTGTCTATATCCGACGTGGTGGTACCCGGGGCCCCCGAAGGCTCTGCCACAAGCGAAGATGATGATTCGTTGTCACGATGCAGCTATCCTGATCAGTTATTGGACCGACAGATCAATGAAGAGGATCCGTTCCCGTCCACCGACAGCAACACACTCTTCTCGGATCAAGACAGCCTTTCGTCCAGTGGTGCAGGCTCGCCAACGCCAGTGGGATTTGATAACACGGTCAACCAGTGGTGGTTGGACTATCGCATCCGAGGAACGGAAGCCTTTATCGAATCGCTGGTCGCGTTTGGAGTCGTGTCCGTTGGAACCGCACTACTCGCATCCCGTATCGCGCGGGCCGTAGTTGGCAGGGTGGCGAAGATATCTTATACAGAAGGGAGGAGCCTGGAGAACGATGTTCGCTTCTCAGTGTTGGAAGCATTCAAAAAGTGCTGGACGGTGGTAAGTCGATGCTGCAACTGTTATCATGGAGACTTGGTCAAAGACGCAAAAGATGCAGAACGATACCTCGATGGAGGTGTCATCTACTCAACCGGATACCGTGCCATCCACACAATACGCTATCAACATCGCCAGCTTGATGGGTAGCATGTTCAGCGAGAAAATATCCAGTTCGATGGATATTCATGTTTGCTTAGGCATTCTGCTAGAAGGCGAGAAGCGCTTTGATCGCTTGTGCGCCATGCATGCGTTGCTGGTCAAAGCCAATGATAAGCTGTGCAAGAACCGCAATCTCCCTGCTCTGATGCAATTCAGAGATGGTATCACATCTACAGGCGGAGAATCTAATGAGTACCTCTGGGCTACCACCCCGCACTCAAAAATGATCCTCACTGTGAGTTGACAGACTCAATGGGCGCTTCATGCCAACTAACCTTGTAACTCACAGGATATTCTTGGCTTGATTGAACGATGGATGGTTTTACAAGAACAGAAGCGCGAACAGAGTAGAATATCCGCCTGGACTGGCAACCGCACGATTCGCAACAGCGCTGTAGGACCAAGATTGCGCCATCCTTTTTGACATGTTTGGTCGTGTTAGTTTCAGATGGACTTGATAAATAGCTGTCAACAACAAACCTGTCCGTGTAACATTATCTGTATGTATTTTAGCGATACCCTCGGACATTTGAAAGAATTAAAAAGAAAGTGCAATGCGAATGGTGATGAGTCTGGTATAAAATCATTGGGCTCAACCGGGAATTGAACCCGGGTCACGTACATCTTCACCAACCTGTGTGGCGGGGAAAACACCCGAAGCACGTATCATGCGACTAGACCATTGAGCCATAGTAAAAACTCGCTTGCAATGACCACCTTGTGGTAGTCGTACGAATTCGCAGTAAATATCCAATCGTCCGATTTGTCGTGATAGTACAGGCTGCAGCCCACAACTGACAAGAGAAAAACTATCGAACCATGAGGCCAATCCCAATTCCGATGCAAAAGCTACCTAGCAATGCAACTCGCACCTCACCGTCAGACAGCTTCGCCCAAGCTCTTGACAAGCCCTTGTAAAAACGGTCTCTGACCGGCTCAAGAAGAGAAAAAGACAACGATAGCAAACTGGAAAGATGCAGTGGATCGACACAAGGGGAGGGTGGACTGATCGTATCAGGCCGAGTGGTAACTGTGTTCTCTCTGGTGCGAGTAGCGACGTCCTGGGACAGTCGTATCTCCCACTCGGCTTCCCACCTGGCCTTGTCCCAACCCTGTGGCTTCTCGGCGATGTAGTGTGCCGTTTCGCGATGTATTGTAGCGATGTTTTCTACTGCACGTTCGACCTCACGCCAACGCAGGAACCGTTCAGCTGCCTCATAGCGCAAGGATGAGAGGGTCTCTGGCGACCGGAACAAGCCATTACGGAGCGCAGAAGGCGAGGAAGGCCTGAAGGAAGACATGTGAGGTCGTGAAGGGAATCTGGTCTGATCCAAGCCATGGCGAAGCACGATAACGGGGATATGAGGCGCAAGCACGTCAATGAGATCATTTTCGCTACTACAAGGCCCTGTAAGAGAGTAGGATTGATTACTGCGGATGCATATGAAGACGGAAATAGACTCACCGGAGGTTGTCACAATTATAAGAGCGGTGTATAAGGGGGTCCACGGTGACGCAATCAAGTTAGTCAAGGCGACAGATGGCTGGCAGTATTTGTCGATTATTTCCAGTAGGGACTGAAATGGTGAATGAATGGTTGGTAGTATGGACGTAGGCTACCCATCCGTCCTTTAGAATTAATTCGCGATGAGAAGTTGTGCACGTACACCATCCTGAGTCTTGTGACGGGTAATGAGTTCAACGTTCCGTGACGGCTCGAATTTCTCGAGTCCATGTGCGTCTTTGTGTTCAATCCAGTCCGTCGAAGCATGTAGCACGAAACCGTCACTGGTTGCTTCCCAGGCACTGGTGTCCACTACATCTTCGTTGTCATCCAACAACAGACTGGATACTAGATTATGATCCTCAGCAGCATCCCCTATCACGAGTAAACGAACGTCTCCCAGGGTCTTCCCGTACTGTGTCGGTCGCGGAAGGGCTTCAGGGAGGGTTAGAGACGGGATGATGAGCCCCTGTGTGGATTCCTTGGCATGGTCGGATTGAGGATGGGAATGTGGGGGACTAGCGGCTGCAGAGGAGAAGAAGAAGGAGGATCCGATAGAAGGCAGCGAAGATATCGATTCAGATGGGCTGTCGGGAGGCGAAGGAGTTGCGCTCGACCGAGGCGACGATGGCTGTGAGAGACTGGCTGCAGGGCTTACAGAACTGACGTGCTGTTCTTGTCGCGGGTGAAGTGTCCGTATCGTAGACGTGCTTGTTGATACAGCGCTCGCGGGTTCCATTAGTCGAGGACAAGGGAGAAGCATGTCAACAATTATTGTAGCCACTCCGCCAAGCTACACGTGTTTGGCAAATTTCTCCTAAGTGATTCACTACTTATCGCTTACAATCAATCAAAGCACATGTACAGGTAAATAACGACATCGTCACCCTAAACGCCTTGCGATACCTCCCACGACTGCGGAACCCAAGTTCACGCACGAATGACAAGGAATTGTTCAGGAATATCTGGGTTTTCCTGTGGAGCTAGGGTTGGTATAACGTACTTCTCCCCGTTCTCATCCACATGGACAGTTCTCTTGACCTTAGCGAGTTGCTGAATAAGAAAACACGCAAAGAAACGCAACGCCGACGCTCTCACCTGCCATACCCGTGTGTTACATCCAATATGAGCAAGTGTAGGGGAACAGACGGATACGATCGAGACTGCCATCTCCATCAGCATGGGTGGAGAAACCACCGAGGATTCACTCGTTGCCAGTGGAAAGTTGATGTGAAGTGTGCGAAGGTTCCTTGCCATGGCAACCAGACGGGCCGCATCGTCCTGGCAGAGATATAATTGATATCCGATGCAGGTGCTAGCCATGGACTTACTAGTTCACGCTGCTCCGCTACTATAAATAGTTGCTCGAGCAGTGGACATTGTAAACAAATCACCTCCAATGCAGCGAGGCTAATTTGCATTCGATGGACAGAGAACTTCCTCAGTCGGTGGCCGTGTTTCGCGGCTATGTTCATCCAGAATCCATCTGGTATGGGAGTCCATATCGATATGGCTGTGGAGTACATCGAGAATGCCTCCAGCGGCGCAAAAGCCAATAGCTCTCCAACGTCACGGGTCCACTTATCCAGAGGCATATGAATATGGACAGTCAGAGTAATCGCTCTCAACCGTCTAAATGCCTCTGCGTGGAGACATGTGGCCTTGAAGGCAGACATATCCTACCGAACGCATGATTGAGGCCAGTAGATCAAGCACGTGCGCAGAACACGTACGAATGCCTGCGAGAGGCCCTCGACACTCACCCCGACAAGTCCGTTCTTGTTGGCAGCGGCGATAGCCCCGATACCCAGATGGGTCACTCTGGGACAACCGATGATGTATAGATACTCCAGTCCTTGAAGCTTCGACGAAAGATGTACCAAGAATGCATCGGTCACAAGGGTCGATGCCTGTAAAGGCTATGATTCACGATCTGGATCGGATGTGAATATCACCTTACCTTACATATGAGTGTGAGGCTACGGAGTGTTTCGCCTGTGATCGAAATCCAGGCAGGAAAAACGTCCAGAACATGAGCGCTAGGCATAATCAGCGAGATCTTGCTTAAACGAGAGAATTGAGCGAGTAAATCTGGATTATATTCGCTGTCGTTCCCATTGATCTCCAGCTCACGCAGCTGTGGGCAGCTACTAAGTGACTCCAGCACGCAAGAATGGAGAGATCCGTCTCTGGTCCATGTACAAGACCTAAGGTGAACGCAGTTTCGAATCCCTTCAGAGCATAGCTGTAGTAGCTCAGAGTGGCGTTCAGCGGATAGACCCTTCGGAAAGTCTCTGATCTCTACCGAGGGGGGGTGAGGGATTGAAGTCGGGAGACAGATTAACGGCGACTCGCCTAGTTTCTCTACATAACGGGCGAGATGAGGACATCGAGATAAGGTCCGGAGGAGTAATATGACCTGTATAAAGAGCACTATCGAGCGACTGTGCAAGGTAATCTCAGTCCAGAGGCCGACCTTGGTCTTTGCTTCCTTGTACCAAGCAAAGATGAATACGCGACGATACAGCAACGGGATCGCAAATCTATTGAATGTCTTATTCACAAGACATAGTTTGGATATGTGCTGAGGCCGCAAAACAAAGCCAAAAATTATTGGCAGCAGCTCGAGTGGAAGCTCGAGGAAATGGGTCATCCAAGATGACTGGAAGGACGAAAGTGGAAGGCTGACTAATCAGACACGCCAACATTCCGGTACACTAGGCGTCTTCCGAGTCCACCTTGCCTTCGTACCACTACCATCCCGGCACAATGGATATTGACGACGACTACGCAATGCAGGAACAGGAGTCTGATCCTGTGCAACCCGAGAACTACGAGGAGGAAGAGGTAGAACAGACTCGGTCAGAGCCTAAAGCTGGAAAGGTTCGAGGGTCCATTTACGATCCACTGGACGACGACGACGACGAGGACGAAGAGGAAGAAGAAGAGGAGGAGGACCATCGCGGGAGGAAGCGCGCAAAGGTTCGTGTTATTCGCGACATTGTTTTCGGGCTTATTCTCATGACACCTTTGTAGCACCGTCACAGACGCAATGCGGTCAACCGCTTCCTCGATGTAGAGGCAGAAGTCGACACAGAAGAGGAGGATGAAGAGGAGGAGGATGATGCTGGTGGTGGTGCGTCTTAATGTCAAATCTTAATCATCGCCATAGTTCTGATCACCTTTGTCTAGATGAATTCATTGCAGAACCTGGTTTTGAGGGGGACGAAGAAGATGTGAATCGAAGAGCAGCTGTCAACGCTCGTCTTGATCGCCGAGAGAGAGAACTCAATGATCAAGACCTAGCCAAAATTGCCCAAAATCTACACGAGCGCTATCGGAGTGCCGGAGTACGGTATACGGGAGACATGAACGAGGTTCCACAACGCTTGCTTATGCCCTCGGTACATGATGCGAGCTTGTGGCAAGTTAGAGTCAAGGTAGAGTGCCAGTACCGTTCAAGCTTTGTATCGTCACTCAAACCGTTTTTCCAGCCCGGGCGGGAGCGAGACATCGTGTTCAGTCTCATGCGCAAAGCAACCGATCTCGAGTATACGACCCAACCGATTTCGATATTATCAGCTTTCGAACGTGACTCTTTGCCTGGGATGATATACGTGGAAGCTCGCAGCGCCCAACAGGTCAACCAGGCATGCAAAGGTCTCGTCGGCGTCTACCCAAGTCGAGGTGTCACTTTGGTACCCATCGAGGAAATGGCCAGCCTTTTGCAAATCAAGAAGCAAGACTTGACTGTAACTCCCGGCACATGGGTTCGTGTCAAGCGCGGAAAGTATCAGGGTGACCTTGCACAAGTTATGGACATAACCGAGAACGGCGAGGACGTAGGCCTCAAGTTCATCCCTCGTATCGATCTTAACCCGAGGGATGACGCGAGCGTAGACGGACGCAAGCGGAAGAAAGCTACTGCCGGTGTTCCCACGATGCGTCCTCCCCAACGGTTCTTCAATTACGAGGAAGTCGTCAAGGTATATGGCCGCAAACAGGTTTCCAAACGGAATCAGGTCTATGTCTTCCAAAACGACACGTATAAGGACGGTTTTATCGAAAAGGACTTCAAACTTTCGGCGCTACAATTGGACGACGTTAATCCCACTTTAGATGAGATCACGCGCTTTACCCGAGGACAAGACGGTGCCGAGAACGAGAATCCGGTTGACCTCTCTA